GGCGAGTTGAAGCGCTCGATGCTGGCGCGCAGGGCGCACTCCTCTGCCTGGAAGTCCCAGGGCAGTGCCTCCAGGTCTGGGGTGGGAGGGGGAGGGGGGCACGTTAGGACGGGACAGCGGCATCCTCGTCTCCCCTCCCTTGGCCAGGCAGCTGCCCTGTCCCAGCCTGTAGCTGTGAGCCGGGGGCGGGGGGCAAGAGAACAGCCCTCTGGGGTAGGAATCCCATGTGCCCCTCTCCCAGCATGCAATGCCCCAAGCCAATGCCCTGATCTTTCATGTAGGGCTCAGTCTCCTTGAGACTCCAAGTCCCAGCATGCAATGCTTCCCCTCCACGGTGCATTTCATGCTCATCAGCAGAGGCCCTGGGGCTCCGGACAGACACCACCCTGGCCGGCTGCCCCGGGCTAAGTGCTCCCGGCGGGGGGAAGGGGCGCGTGTGTGTGAGTGTGAGTGTGAGTGCGAGTGCGTGCACACACGTACCGTTTCCATAGGCCCAGTCGTCATTGAGCCGGTGCCGCACTTTCTGGTAGATGGCCGACATGGTCTTCATGTTGCTCTTCCTCCACTGCCGCCCCAGGTACTTGGTCTGCACCTTCAGCAGCTTGAGGACGTAGAGCTGCATCATGGCCTGCTTCACCTTGAGTGCCCGCTTCAGGATGGGCGCCGACTTGAACACCACCAGCATCTAGGGGGCAGCAGACCCGGCACCGGCACACAGGTTTGGCTCAGCCTCACGCGCCGGCTTTGTAAGGCGACAGCCTGCCCTGCTCCCACCCACCAAGGCCTCTGCAGCCTCCCGGCCCAACGGCCCCTCCTCACCATGGTCCTGGAGTGTTTCCACTTGGTCAGCTTGTTCAAGATCCTCAGCAGGTTTATGCAGGAGAACAGGTTCCGCCAGCAGAACTGATTGTTGTCCCCGGCTTCCTGCAGGGACAGAGACCGGGCAGGGGGTGAGCAGCTGGCTGGGGGGAAGGTGCAAGCAGACGGGCAGGGCTGCCTGCGGGAGGAGGCTCCTGCCAAACGGCACGTCTAACGGACGGGACTCGCTTCCCACCTTGCACTACTCAGAGCCGTCCAAGTGCGGGAAAGCCTGGGCTGCCATGGCAGGGCCCGGCCCCGCGCTGCCCCACCCCCCGGTGCCGCAGAGCGCTCTCCGCATTCCCGGCAGCACCAGGGACACGCGGGCCGGAGGGGAGGGCTCACCAGACTCTCTGCCGTCAGCTCGGGGAGCTCGTGCACCACGCAGTAGGGGTAATCCAGGACTGATATGCTGGAAGGAGAAGAGAGGCCTCAGCTTGCTCATGCACAGCCCCATCCTTGGAGGGGGGGAGGGTCTGGGGCGTCCTCTGCTGCCCCCAGGGCAGCTCCCTGGAAGATCCCACGCTGGGGACGGCTGACAAGGTGCAGCCGGGAATTGAGCAGTGGGGGAGGGACCAGCGCCCTTCCTGTGGGCCCCACGGCAGCTGCAGCACTGGGGTACCCACGGCAGGGCCAGTGACAGGGCACCCCCAGGGCCCCGCCCCTTTACCTGTTCTTGGCAGTGATGTAGGACATGATGTTCTGATTGAAGAACTTGAGGATGAGCGGGATGCAGTTGGCAAACACCAGGTGCTGGGCCATGTACTCGAACTACGAGCAAGGACAGGCGCAGGTCAGCAAGCGGGCAGGAGC